TTTCATAGGACGATGTGTGTCAAAGTGTTAATAATAAAGCTTGATACTAAGGTACCAAGAATAATACAATGTAGCACATTTGCCAACGTTTGTAGAGACTAAATCTACGGAACATTAAGTCCATGTTCGGGCTCCATCCATGTGAAAATGTTTTTTTTTTTTTTTTTCAATCACATTTTTTTAATAAAATAATATTGCATGTAAATTCAAATTTTTCTTTATTTTTTAACTACAAATTCTCCAAAAAATCAAAATTCCAAAAAAATAATATTGCTTGCACGTAATGGAATTACATAGTAATTTACCTACATATAAGTACGGATGTCAATGAGCCGAGCCGAATTGAAACTTGAAGCTCAAGCTCGACTAGAGTAAAAATGGTTCGGACTTTTTTTAGCCCTAACCAAGTCGAACTTTTTCTTGGCCAAAAAATTTAGGCTCAACCCGAGCTTTCGATTCGGGCATTGTCAAGCCGAACCGAGCTAGCTCCCAAATTTTTTTGAAAAAATTATGAAGCAGCTACACGCTTCCTATAATTGGATTTTATTTTTTATTTTTTTTTTAATGTTTTTAAGATTAGGCTCGTCACAGGCCAAAAATAACTCATGTGACTCGTTGAGTTGCGCAGGGTGGCCCGAGCTCGAGCTTTTCTAAACCTAACCATTGGCCTCCCGAACTGTTGAGCGAAATTGACAACCCTACATATGAGTGTCAGAAAGAGAGTGGGATTTTTAGTTTTTTTTTTAAGAAATTTTGATGCAATTATATCTTATCACGTCATATGCATGTAAACCATTATGTACATGTAGCACAGCTGATTCCAAAATACATTTTTCTCCAAAATCTATTGATCCTAAACTGAGACTAAGTTAGAGATGCTTAAAATATAATAGAATTATAGACTACGAAGTATTAACGGCTTAAGAAAGCACCAAAAGGTCTTGTGTTGTCTTCGTAGCTGGCATGGATCCCCTTTCAGTTAGGATTGCGGAACTCCCGTTCATTCAATTGAACGTGGAATAACACTGGTGCTTATCAAAATGCCTCATTCAACAAGTATCATAATACTAATTTCCCATATAGTCTCCGAGAAAGAAAATGGGAAAAACCGAGGACTAACGAAATCTCTATCCTAGTTAGTGGTGGCAATCAATCTGAGCAGCTCATCGGCTCTCCCGTTCAGCTCGTACTGTAGGCAAGCAGGTCGTCTTGTATTTTAAAAAAAAATTAAAAATGAAATTCAATGACCAGAATAGTAACTGAATTAAGTGATCAAAACGGTCACTGAATTTCAGACTTTTCAGTGACCGTTTTGGTCACTGAAAATTTTTTGTTATTTTTTTTTCATTTTTTCTCTATAAATACTCATCCCCTAATCAACATTTTTTCCCACCATTCCTCTCATTCTCTACTCTACTCTTTACAATTTACAAATTACCAACATTCAACA